CCTAGACCAGAGCTGGTAGGCACTCCATTTACCTTGCCTCCTGATTAGGATGCCTTTGAGGTGTGTTTTACGCTATCATCTCCAGCAGGATTTAACCTGAGCCAATGACAGTGATAACCTGCCAGATAATGCATCTTGCATTGACTTCTTTCTCTTTTTGGTCTCATTTCCACAGACCCCTATTTCCTGGAACCACCACTCAAATAAGTCATTTGCATTCAGAAATTTGAATGAAGAAATGTTTGCTTCTGGGGAACCCAACCTCAAACAATATGTATCTCCATGTGAGGAATGCTGCCCCTTTAGGACCATGAATATGTTTGTCTTATTCACCATTCTACCTGCAGTATTAGCAACAGCCCAAGGCCAGCACTCAAAAGGTGGTGAATAAATGTCAGTTCACTTTTTTCTCTCCTCTGACACATCTAGAGTTAGCTGTCTATGACTGGTCCTAGGAGATATAATTAGGAAGCTTACTCTACCACATTCAGGATGGGCTGCACACCTATCCAGTACTTCTCTGAAAATAATTCTGTGCCCGTGGCAATCTTGCTCCATTATTTTTTAAATTACACCAACACAAACTATAGGAAATTACGGCACATATCTTTTCATATGTGCCCTTGGATTTTACTAAGAGTTTTCAATGGCCAGGATCTCCTACCTTTCTTCACCATGGACCTTCTAAATTTGTCTCCTTCCTCTTGACCCATTCTATGACTTTTGAAACTATAACAGCATATGAAACTACAGACATTATAGCATAGTGGGTAAGTACCCACATTTTAGACTCAAATGGCTCCCACTTTAAATCCTGTCTCTGCCACAGACTAAGTTGGTGACCTGGGGAAAGTTATTCAGTTTCTGTTAAATTTCCTTCCATGTAAGATAGGAATAATAGTACCTATGACACAGGATTATTTTGTAGATTAAATAATATAATGTATGTATAACAAATGATCCTACTTGTATTGAGGAAAATACAAGAGAATAAATACTATCTTTTTAAACATTTTTTTTTTAAGAGAGAGAGAGAGAATGGGGAGGGGCAGAGGGAGAGGGAGAGAGGATCCCAAGCGGGCTCTACGCCCAGCACAGAGCTAACACGAGGCTCAATCCCACGACTCCACGATCATGACCTGAGCCGAAATCAAGAGTCCGACACTTAACCAACTGAGCCACCCAGGTGCCCCAAGAGAATAAATATTATTAAAGGATATAGCTGAAGACATTGACTGCTTGCCCCAGGTGACGTATTTCTCTGGAAAGTTACTGAACCATTCCAAGTTATTTAGAAAACCACTCCTAAAATTGTACTATGATTGTTTCCCATATATTCTTACTCAAAGACCTCAGCTCTGTTGGCCACTCCCTCAGATGGCCAGTGCCTTGAGGGATTCCTAAATTTGAGTCTACACTCCTCTCAAAGGCAAATACGGTTGTTCCCAGGCCACAAGGAAGTACATAGAGCTGAGCTGTAATACTGAGTTCCACCAGAGGCGGCCACTGTTTGACATCACCCTACAATGTAAGCTATTTCCCAACTGAAGTTCTCAGTGAGTGAATGCCCAAGAAAGCAATTTTACAAATTGAAAATAGATTTATTGTGTTTATTTGTAGAGGTGCCTTGCAGCATGGCTCTTGCCACATTCCACAGAGAGGAGCAGATTTGGGAATACTAAACAATCCAAATAGTGGTATATAGGACTCAGAGGAAGGCTTTCCTCCCGAAGCAGTGCAGACTGCGTTGTGTTTCCTCTTGGGTTGTTGTGACAATCAGCTGCATACCAATTATAATCCGGGGTTTATAAACAGCCAGAAGATTCCCTTGGAGGGAGTAATTATATTTCCTTGAACATATAAGGCAAACGCTTTTTCTTAAACATGCTATGTGCTGACTGCAAAGTAGATTTACTTTACTGATGCTAAAGGAAGCCCCTCAGGATAAAGGCAAGGAATCTTGGTGGGACAGAGATATTAGGAGGCCAATAAATGAGCAGAGAACATAAACAATGCCATGGAGCATTATCATTCAGGGGATGAACCAGCTTGGCCTCTTCAAATAAACGTGCCTGATGAGATGTTAAGAGCATTGATGTTAAAACTCAGTTTCCTCTTCTATAAAGTGGAATAATGCTTACCTAATAAAGTTATTCTGAGAACCTCATTATAAAACATGCCTGAAGTGTCCAGAGCAGTAGATACCCCAAAACAATATCCTATATTATAGCTGTTGTCAGCCGCAAACCCATATCCCCTTCGAACTCACCATCCCTTCTACAAGACAATGGCTTCCTAGTGAAAGCATCCAAAGTTCTCTGCCGGGGGATTCTCTCAGCCCAGGTGAATGGGGCAGGTGGGGAGTGCCAAGGAGTTATACTTCCAGGAATAGCTCTTAGCCAGTCTTGCAGAAAATTTAGTGGGAAATACCCACTTCCTTGTTTTTGGGTAGGACAACTCTGAGGCTTGTTTCACAAGGGTGTCCTGTGGGTTTGAGTCCCCTTCGTCCCTGCGCTAACCTGCTTATTCATGCACCTTGGATTGGCTTCTCTGGCTTTCCTGTCTCACTTTCCTCCTTCCTGATGGGAGCTTCCTGGGATGACCTCCAAAATAAATTGCTGGCACTCAAAGTCTTGTTTCAGGATAGAATCCAGCCTAAACACTATATCTCACAATGCGAACAGACTTCATAACTTGGATCATTGGGTTCACAATGACATGTTCACTATTCACTAACCAGCATTGTCTATTCAGCTTCCTATCCAGCCCTTCTTCTATCCCACAGCCACTGCCTCAGTTAAGGCTCTTCTTATTTATCTATTTGTTTATTTATATCTATCTGCACCATAGTCTCTAACCAATCTCCACACTTCCAGTAAGTCTACCATCTAATCCACCACCCACTTACTGCCAAAGTTACTATCCTAAAATACAGTAATGCTATTCCCTGGTTTGTTTGTTTTTAAGACTTCAGTGGCACCCATTGCCTCCACGATTTATGTCTTAAATCTTATAACGTCATATGTAAAACACCTCAAAGCTGGTTCCAACCAACCTTTCAGCCTAGTCTCCAGTGACTGCTAACCACAGCTGATGGTCAGCCCACAGAGAACAAGATAGTGTCTTCTCCTTCCACCTGTCCCCTTTCTATGTGTTTGAATGTGCTTGTGATCTTCCCTGTCTGAGGAGCCTGGCTTATCATTCAAGGTCTAGCTCAAACTTCTTCACCTCCATGAGGACCTCTCCAACTCCCCAAACCAGTTCCCTCCTCTGGGCTCCCACAGTAGCATGTGAATTCACTGGCTCATTCATTCACTCAAAAAAGGTTCTTCTGAACATTTTCTACTATATACCAATCATGTGCCAAGCCCCAGGGAAACCATGCTGGATAAAAGCAGAAATCACTCTTGCCCACATGAAGATCACAGCTGGAGAAAGGAAACAGATATGAATTATCAGGTGATCATACAAAAGTTCATTACAAACTGCCATGAGAGTTTTACCACAAAGGATGCAGACCCAACCCATGGACACAAGGAATGGGTGCTTAAGTTGAAAGTGAAGTAGAAGATAACAGCGGATGAAGGAAGTGGCATATACATTACAGGCACAGGGGGTAGGAGGGAACACAATACTATTTTTGAAGAATAGAAGAGAGGCATGGGGAGAATGGAAGGAGAGGCACTTACACCATTCCATTCACTGTGTCATTTATATTTGTTGGCTGTGTCCTCCCTGCCTCATGCTTGAGAGTAAGCTCCTTAAAGGTAAGGACCATGCTGTCACTGAAAGTCCTATCCACCCCAGCACTTAGCACAATGCAAAAAACCCTAAGTAATGTACCCATTTTATGGATGAGGGAGTTGAGGATCAGAAAGGTTGAGTGAGTTGCCCAAGGTCCCAAAGCTGGCAGTGGCTGCACAGGAATTAGAATATACCTCCACCACTCCCCCACTACAATCTTTCTTTAAACAGCCACAAGGCAATCTCCCTCCACCTGTGCCCTCCCTGGGTGGTGGGGCGCCATTGACTGAGCCACCCAGGAGCCCCTAAAAAGTCCAAGTTTTTCTATAAGCTCCTTTTCAAAAAGCCAGTTACTGGTGTTTGTGTGTGTGTGTGTGTGTGTGTGTGTGTGTGTGTGTGTGTGTGTGT